CTGTACATTACCATATACTTTTTATTTATTTATTTATTTATTTTTATTCTATATTTTTCAGTTCTGTTGGGCTATAATTAACGAGTAAAACTGTACATATTTAAGGGTACAATGTCATAACTTGATATACATCTACATTATTAAATGTTACCCCAATCAAATTAATTAAAACCTAGATCACCTTACATAGTTACCACAGACAGGTTTACTGTAAGGTCTCAATGTCAGGGCATTCAAGCAGATCTGGGCCTAGGCTCTGTGTAGAGGCCACAGTGTATGCGGAAGCTTACCTTTGCCTTATATCTATGGTATCAAATATTGGGAAGAAAAAGTTTATCCAGAGAAATCATTGCTTTGCTAAATGAGGCAAGAGAACAGGAGGAGGAAGAAGGGGTGCTGACAGCCTGCTTACTTCCTATTTTCTGCATGATTGTCTTCCACAAAGACTTTTTTCTTTTCCTATGAGAAACCCTGGCACCAGCCTCCTTTGAGGGTGAGCATGCACCTTGCTGACACTAACAAGAAGGAGCCCATTATCCTTTTGCCAGTAAACTTCCTCAGGCAACTTCTGCTGATTGGCTTTTTCACCATCTTGTCCCTTCCCACATTTCCTCCTATGTTACTTTGGACCAATGTGAACTCTCTCCAAACACCTTACATGCATACCTCTTTTTCTAGTTTAAAAGAAGCTCCTTCCATCAGAGCTGACCAATATGTCTGACACTTCTCTCTGACCCTTCTGCTGGTGGGATCTGACTATATGGCCCAGGGTCTGACTCTGATTGTGTGCTCCTTTTGAAAGATCAATACATTAATTTCTCTTTATCACTTCTATTTTGCAGTTGTTCTTTCTGGCTGAACAGTATGTAATGCGATGTTATGGTAACACTTGATGCTGGGCAGAAAGCCATTGCTTGTTGCATGATTGTGTACTTCCTCAGCTACTGTGAGGGCATCCCAAGACAAAGAAAAAGGGGAAAAGTGCACTGAGGCAAGGATGTGTAGAGCTGCACCCTGGGAGCCAGAGTACACTAGCTGCCATCTAGAAGAGCTCCAGCATCATCCTCCTGGCACCTGTGTTAATTCGTTCTTCCTTCCCTCTTGTAACACTGGAGGGATGCCCAAGACCTTCCTTGGGACCAACCTTTCCATTGAGCCCACAGCACTATTCTCTCTTGTATCCATGAAGACTTCACTTCTACAATTATTGCTTCTCTTTCTCCTACATCAGCAATCTTTTTCTCTCTAATGAATCAATGTAGGAAAATACTCTGGAATTGCACATCTTAAAAGAAATACAGGGGCCACAGATGGTGTAGTAGTTACATCATTGAACTCCCACATGGCCAACTGCATTTCAAGTCCTAAACCAGGTGGCTTGAAAATCATGCCACACACATGTGTGTACGTGCCCAAGATCCCAGGAAGAGAATAAAGAAGAGATTGAAGTGTGGCCATCCCCCATGGGAGGTGATTTCTCACTTTCCTTCTTACTGTTTCTTTCTCTCTGGTGAGTGCACAAGCCCTATGGCAAAACCCTCTGAAAAAATACATTAATCACCCCTAGTGTTGCAAATAAAAGTAAATCTTGACATTATCTCACAACAGTCACACTGCCTTGCCCCCTTGTCCACTCATAGAAAATCATGTTTAAAGAATTATCTATGCACATTTCCTGGCCTCTCATTGCCTCCTCATCCCTCTGTGACCAGGCTTTTATTCCCATCCTGCTCCTTAAAGTGTTTTAGAAATCACCAAAAACGTCCAGGCCACTAAATACAATGGTTAATATTGTATGCTTATATCAGTCAACCTCTTAGCACTTGACCCAGGCCAAGAAGGCCTAGTTCCTGAAATAAGACCTTTGTCTTTTTTTGTATGACCACCTTCTCCTTAAGATGCTGTTCTGTAACCTCATTTGCTAGATCCATTTCCTCTCAGGTTCATATTAGCTGCTCCATGGTTTGGGCTCTAAAGAACTTCTTTATCTACAAATAACCCCATGTCATCTAAATGCTCGTGACTCCCAATTTCCCATAAATGCTGTGTTACAGAGATGGATGTCCCATAGGCATCTCAAAGTTACATCAAAAATTGCATATTCTGATCTGCACCTAATATTTGCTTTGCCCCCAATATTCTTCATCTGAGAAACATCATTTCAATTCACAAAGTGGGTTAACATAATGTGCATACCATAACCCTTAGCTCTCTTTTGATGTTTTTCACACATTCCATCCATCTATCCACATACCCTGTCAATTATTTCAAAATGTAATTGTACACTCACCACTACCTACCACTTCAATCAAACTTAAAAAATAAATGACTGTATCCTATTTTGTTCAAGAACATTTATGGGACCAGCAGATGGTATAATGGTTACGTCACTGGACTCTACATAGTTGACCGCAGTTTAAGTCCTGGACCCAGTGGCTTAAAACTCATGCCAGGTACATGTGTGTGCATGCCCAAAATCCTGACAGGAGAATGGAGGAGAAAGGACTGTGGCATGGCAATCCCCCTGGGGGAGGGATTTGGCACTTTGTCTCTGTTTCTCAGGTGAGTACACACACCCTATAGCAAAAATCTCTCTCTTTAAAAAAACACATTTATTTCCTTTTCTTTAGTGAATTTATCCCTAAATCAGTGAAAGGCCATTTATTTATGTATCAGAACTTCTGAAACCCACCAAAAATATGCCTCTTGGAAAGTCTTTTGGATATAATTGGAGAACTAGAAGCTCATCGTAGCAAGTTCCTGTACTTTTATTTATCTTTTCCATTGGCCCAAAATGGATTTCTAACTAGAGTCAATATCCTTTGCTCCCAGGTTCCAGCACCATGTCATTAATTTAGGGAGGTGTCTTGATGAGGTGATCACACATCTTGTCCTATAAATTATTATATTCAACCTCAGAGATAGTGTATTCTTGAATAAAAATATTTGAAATATACTGCTTCTGGGGATGCCCAGAAGCAAATGAATTGTGGTGTTTGTTATTTTTTAAAAATTTATTAGATATTGTTTGTGCTATGAGATGCTTCATGAGAGAGAAAGTGAGAAAGATTCCCCTATGAGGGATGGTCATACACAAAACCTTCTCAATTACAACTTATATTCATTTTATTTGTTATTATTTACTTATCTATTTAATTTGACCAGAGGGAGACAATGAGAAAGAGAAAGCAAGCTGCCAGGTCTGGGACACCAACTGTGGTTGGCCATGTGGGAGTTTAGCATCTTCACTACCAGACCTGCTGGTCTCCTCAATTACTTCTTTCAAGATTTTGAGTATAGACACACATGCATACACAAACACACACACTCATGCACCTGTATCCAGTGTGCTTTCAAGCCTCCAAGTTTTGGACTTAAACCATGCAGTGATGTAGATCCAGCCACTTTAACCACCTCTCCAATGGCTGGCCCTTGACATTCTTTTAAAACTTACAGAATCTGAGACCAGCAGTTAGCGTAATGGCTATGTCGCTAGACTCCCATGTAGTCGACCGCAGTTCGCGTCCTGGACCCGGTGGCTTAAACTCACGTCAGGCGCGTGTGCGTGCATGCCCAAGATCTCGGGAGGAGAATGGAGGAGAAGGGGTTGCAGCATGGCCATCCCCCCTGGGGGATGATTTCTCACTTTCTATTTCTCTGTCTGGCAAGCACACGCGCCCTATAGCAAAAACCTCTCAAAAATAAATAAATAAATAAATAAATAAACTTACAGAATCCCATTAATCATCACAACTGCAGAATCCAAGGTGACTAAGTGATTCATTCACTTCAGGATGTTCGTGAAATAATGGCTATGAATGAATTGCCACCTGATTAGGCCTACCATAACCCTGAGGTCCTCTGCAGGGCTTTCCCACGTCAGTCAAACTGGAGAGTGAAGTGAAGAGGCGGGAGAATCTTTTGCTCATGCACCTGTTAAGTCCAATAGTAGACATCTTTAGAATTCCCAGAAAGTGGGAAGCTGCATTTGAATGACAACTTTCACAGGGATCAGAAGTTACCGTAAATCACTCCATCTTGCCTGTTACTATCATAGCAGCTTCTGTTCCAGGGAGCACTAACTGAAAATAGGTTCCAATAAGATCTGAGAGTTGTAGTTTTGGTTTAAAGCTATAAAATCTGTACTTTGATAAGGGCTTTGCACAAAAAAAATTGTCATTTGAAGAGGGTGAATCCATGAGAAATGATGTAAATTCTTTAATATATTCACTCTTCATTCCCGTAAAGTGGGAAATTGACCACCAAATGGTTGACAGTTTCCATTTGAGCTACAAGCACACTTAGAAACTAAGTCTAAGTTAAGGGGCATGGGGATTGGGTTGGCCTATAAATGCCAGGTCGGGGGAAGGAGGTGAGACCATAGCCATATTCCACTGATATCTAAAGGTCTCAAGCCCTTCCTCTAGGTGATAGGTACATGATTAAATGCTATTAGGAGAAGGCAAGGGGTTTCATGGGGTGTACCTGTGGGATTCTAGCACCACAGCTTCTTCTCCCTTCAAGAGGCTCCTAGTTTGCCCCCCGAGTCAGGTCTGCACATGGGCTACCCCTCCCCAACAAAGTGGCTCAAGGAGCTCAGGTGCAGCACATCTGGAAATATTTACGTTTACAAACTCAACTGAGGTTTCTTCTTTTTTTAGAGATAGGTTTTTGCTATAGGGTGCATGTGATTGCTGGAGAGACAGAGGGAAATAGAGAAAGTGGGAAATAACCCCTCCTCCTGGGGAGCAGAGGACGAGCATTCTGCATTCCTTTCTTTTCCGTTCTTCTCCTCTCAGGATTTTGGGAACGCATACACATGTGGGCAGCATGTTTCAAGCCACTGGGTCTGGGGCTTGAACCACTGCTGGCCATGTGCAAGTCCAGCACCTTAACCACTACACCACCTGCTGGTCCCCCAACTGAGGTTTTAATGGATTGTTCAAGCATTTTGTCCATAGAGAAAGAGTGATGAATTAACCACATGCAAACATCTGCTGGTGACATCATTTATTTATTGAATTTCATAGCATTTTCCCTGACCATAGTCGTGCCAGATACTATTTTAAGTGTGTGGTGATGTGTTAATGAAAAAGCATACTAAAAATATAAACTTGCCTTGTGGAGTTTACATATTATCATGGACAAGAAGAAACATAAGTAAACAAGAAATATACCCAATTTTCTATGGGACAATAAATGGAAAATGTTATGAAGAAAACAAACCTATAACAAAAGTGAAGGCAAAATGCAACTTTAAATCATGGCATCAACATGCTCTCTATGCTGGCTCTTGAGGTAAACATTATACCTTTGATGGTTAGTTTAGGGCCACAAAATCTAGTCCTTGCCATGAAAAACAGTTTAAATTTAATTGCAGAATAATTTCTAAGAATCCTTTCTTGCAGTAATGAGGCAGCGTTAGTATGCTTCTAAATGTTTAAGGTAATTTCTAAAGTGGGTTCTTCATATCTAGGGACTATATGTTATCTTAACTGAGTTTACTATGGAGTTGTGCCTAAATATTGCTTATGCTTACTAAGTTTTCAGTTCAACTAGGCTATTTATAGTTCATAGAAAACTCATAAACAGGAAACAATATATTTCTATAACTAATTTGGCACTGGAGTCATAGAAATTGCTCTCCAAACATAGCATGACTGAATACTTCCCACTATGACAACATCAACAATATCATATTTTTGGGGACTGTATCCATCAGGAAGCTTCAGAGAATCCAAAGTGAAGAAGACAGTATTGTCAACCACTCCATTTCTTCCCTGTAGGCTGGTGATGCAGACCTGCAATGACAAATTATAGACATGATTACTGCAAGCATACTGCCCTGGGACAGACTCAGCACCTCATGTCTCAGACTCTAACCTACAGGTCACTTAATCCCCATCTGTTTACCAGCCTGGCTTGTACAATGTCAACACCAGGGATGCTTAGTAAATGTGGCTGTGAAAGTAATCTGCCTCAAACCAAGTAAATCAGAACCTCTGGGGATGGGGCCCATATCTCTAATCAGAAAGTCTGCTCTGAATATTACCCACAATGACCTCTATTTCACTTACTTTCCTATCCATTTTCAGGCTGCGCTACACAAAGCAGACCTAGTTTCATTGGCAAGTTCAAATTCCACATTAGACTTCATTAATTTTTCCCCCAAGCACCTATTGCACACTAATTGTTTTTCTTTCTGTTGTTCTCAGAAAATCCTAATATCATTGTTCTACCCAATGATCTGCATAACATAAAACTTCATGATATGGATTGTCTATATTATTTTCTGTTTTACTTTGGAGGAACTGACTGTTCTTTTCTGGTTGTTGTCATTTATTTTGTCAGAGGGTGTATGCACTCACCTCAAAGAGATGGAGAAGAGAGGGAAAGGGAGAAAGTACCCCCAATGGGTAACGGTCACACCACAATCCCTCCTCTATTACATTCCCTTTGTTTCGGGATTTTGGACATGCATATACTTATGCCTGATGTATCTCTTGAAACAGCTGGTCTGGTACTTGAACTGTGTACTCGGCCATGTGAGATCCAGCTGCCTTAATTACCATTGTTCATTCTGCCTTTATGTAGACAATATATATTTGCAAAGAAGAGCTAATTTTCTCAATGCAAAGGCTCCTCTTTGCAAACATATACTTTCTGTATTTTACAGTACATCCAATAGAGCCCTAAGAACAAATATTACCATTAAGGGAATGACTGGGAGATACAAATGGGAAGTATAATGTAGAAACAAATTACCTCCTCCAGATGCTTACAGAATAAGGGCTTTGCTGAGTGCACCTTGATGTTATATGGACCAGGAAGGCAGGAATACTCAACTTCTACCCAGTCACCCTTGTAAGGCATAAAATCTGAAACAGTCCCTTCTGTCAGAAGGGAAGTTTATAATCTTTGAGGCACTGACTCTCCTCTACCATTTGTCAGGTGTCAAATAAGATGCATCACGCTGTATCACCGTCAATGTTTTTGGGAGCAGTACAGGATGTATTCAGCACTTGCTCATGTTCACAGGTCCTCTGGACAGGTAATCAAATCCATAGTAAGATGAAGAGTTTGACTCTGGCTACTTGTGTTCAAATCTTATATTTGCCACTTTTTTAGTCTGCCACCTTAATCTCTCAGTGTCTATTTTCATCATCTATAACATGAGAGGAACCATAATAGCCCTCTTAACATAGAGTTGATGTGATCGTTAATGTGTTGAAAAAAAAATTTAAAAACTCATGGAATAGGCCATCAGGTAATGTGGTGGTTAAAGCACTAGATCCCATATTGCCTCTTTCAAGATTTGAGTCTAGACTCCAGTACCTTAAATATCAGGCAGGGCGTGTGCATGTGTGTGCCCAAAATCCAAAGAGTAGAATGGAGGCAAAGGGACTGCAGTGTAGCCATCCCCTCCGTGGACTGATTTCTCACTTTCTCTTCTATCTCTGTCTCTCTCTGATGAGGACATATACTTGATAGCAAAAATAAAAAACAAAAACAAGTGGCACAACCATGAAATAAATGTTGATTACTAATAGTGGTGGCAGTGATACTAGAAAACAATAAGAGACTTTTAAAAGTTTGGGTGGGGGGAAATGGAATTAAAATATGAATGTATTTGGAGAAAAATATTGAAATCCTCACTTAATTTTTTATGAGCTCTATTGTTAATGAATATCTTGAGGACTCCTAGTATTACTATAAGAATTAATCAGTTTCAACAGGCTGTCTGGTCAAGTGATGAAGTCTTAAACAGGTATCTTACATTTATGGCTATAAGAAACTGAGTTGGATCTCTTCCTTTTTACTCCCCCCCACCCTTTTTGAGAGATTTTTGCTATAGAGCATGTGTGTTCACCAGAGAAAGAGAGAGATAGAAACGGAGAAATCATCCCCCAATGGGTATGGCCATGCCACAATCCCTTCTCCTCCATTCTTCTCTTAGGATTTTGGGTGCACATGTATCCAACACGATATCATTTTCTTCTTATTTATTTTTTTATTTTTACATTTAAATGCTATACATCTCTTCTGCATATAAAATGAATTTTCCCAGCATGAATATGGATACACTGAATATAAATCCAGTCAAAGATATTACCATATACATTATCATCAATCATTTTCCATTTTTGTGTCCATTGAATGTTTTTCTTTTTTTTCTTCCCTCTTTCTCTTAACCCTTTTACAATTTGCTTTTGTGAATGTACAGAATATCTCTAGGGTGATAAGTCTAAAAGGTATATACCTGTAAGTGACGTCAGATTTCAATTGTCCTTATGCCTATGGAGTTGCATCATATCTAAAGCTGGATTTTTGCTCTACTTAACATTCTTTACATTTCCATAATCTCATTCTGCCACAGTCCAAATTGGCAACTTCCCTCTACCATGGCTCAAATCAAAACACTGGAGTTATCTTTGACTCCTTTTCTTTCATGCCAGTGGTCCATGCTATCAGCCAATGCTTTTTAAAAATTTTATATTTATTCACTGTATACCATTACAGCATACGAAATGAATTTTCATATGCAGAACACATTGAATATTGGCCCGATCAAAGATATTACCATACTTATTATCTTCAACAGATAATTTTCCATTTTGTGTTTCTTAAATGTTTTACTTCTTTCTTTATTCCTCTTGAGACAATGCTTCTATGTCTAGCTTCACAGTATGTCCAGAATTAAATCCATCCTTGGAGTCTTATTTTCTGTGATGTCATGCACATTTCTATCATTCTGATCAGGAGAATTAAAACGTTCTCCTAACCGATTTTCTCACTCCACACTTGCCTCGCACAATCTCTTCTCGACAGACAGACAGAGTGGAATCTTAAAGCAAATCCAGGTCAAGTCCTGGTTGTACACTCAGGAAAAGAAAAACCTCAAGCTGCCTGGAAAGGCTGAGCTAATTTCTCTTTTGTATCAAACCTTCCAACAGCTGCATCAGGCTCAAGTAGCATGTACAAAGTATAATTAGGGATAAAATAGATGCACACACTCACACACATATACACAAACACACATGTAATGCTACAAGCTATCATCAAAACCTATTTGGAAAGATTTTAAGTTTGTTGAAAATACCATCCTGTACAACACTTTTAGCATTTTATGATGATTAGAACTTCAATACTTGTATGAATGAAAAATTAACCCAATTACTGTGATGGCAGCAAGTTTTGTAACCTTTTTCTGTTTGTCCCTATATTATAGCTTATTTTCAATTCCAAGGGCCCACCTCCCTTAATGAAGCTGTTAACTACAGCCACAAACATGCAAAAATACCTGAAGTATGAAAAACAACTAAAAATGCATTATGTTTTCTGAAAAGTGTAAATCATACCTTCAGAAACAACATCTAGGGAGAAATAGGTCTCCTCATCAATGCAGACAATATCTGCACTCACAGAGGTAACACGAGCAGTTGTAAGTCTGGTTCCAACATCGGATGGTCCAGAGTCATCAATAACCTCAGGGAGAACATCCTCAGAGAGAACATCCACCTGTGAGATAAGGACACAGTTACTTCCAAGAAAAAAGGTAAAAATAGACACTTTTTATATGTTTAAACCATTAGTGTTTGAGAATTATTTTAAGTGGTCATCCTGAACTACAGTGAATGTATTTCAAATGTGAAATAGATTATAAAAATGAGATGATAGTAAAAATAATCCCAGTACCTTTTAAAATGCACTAAGCAGATGTTGTGGTGGTTAAAGCAGCTTGAACCACATGCTGACTACACACTTCCACTCACATATCCAAAGGCTTGACAAATGCACCAGGTATGTTTGTGAATGTGTGTGTACCCAAAAATGGGTGAAGAGAGTGAAACAGATGGGACTGTGGCATGGACAGCCCCCCAGGACTTATTTCTAACTTTTCCTCTCTCTCTCTCTCCTTCTGTCCCTCTACTGCAAGTATATAGGACTTAGAGTAAAACTGAAAAATACAAGAAGTGCTCCAGAAAACCCGACTCATTGTTTAACGCACACACAGGGCGACACTCAAAGATAAAGATCTTGTCATGCTTCCATTCTAGAAATTAACAATTTTATGATTGTAAGATTGAAAAATAATCTAGTTCTGAACAATTTGTGACCAATGGTATCAAACAAGTTCAAAAACAGTTCCTGGGAATTTGAAGAATAAGAAAATTTCATACTGAGAGAAAACAGAGGCATCCCATGGAAGAACTAAGGTTCAAGTTGGGTTGTGAAAGGATAGAAAGATTTTGCCTGGCAAACGGAGATGGAGTGAAGGTAGCAGGGGGAGACAGAGAGTAAAATCAACCAGAAGCTGTGGGAATAGGGAGCAAAGCCATAACATTCGAGATCAAAGTCCAGGGGAAGAAACAAGGGAAAAGTTACAAAAATAACCTCAAATGAGGAGGGCTTTAAAAATCCAAGTCAAAATAAAGCTGTGAATTTACGGTTTATGTACAAAAGATATAACTATATTAAATTCAGATCAATACATTACAGAAAGAAGAAAAGGGGCTGCTAGCAGTCTGCATATCCATTACTTCCTGTTGTCTCATGGCTGACCTTCACAGACACACTTTTCTCATGATCAACACTTGCAGTAGCTTCCTAAAAGGCTGGGCACACACCTTCCTGCCAGTAAACTGCCTAGGTATCTTCTACTTTTATTCAGTCCTGTCCTACCTTCCATTTCCCCTAGACCTTCCTCTGTGGCCTTTAACCAATGTGAACTCTTCCCAAATTACTTATTGGTCCTATTTGTTGTTGTTAAAAAATCTGCTTCCTCAGATGCAGTGGTTGGTTTGACACTTCTCTCAGTGCCTGCTGCTGCTGGGATCTGGGTGTATGCCCCAGGGTCTGACCCCCGTGTTGTGCTAGTTATTTTAGACTAATAAGTTCCTTTCTCTTTATAACCTTTACTTTGCACTTGTCCCCCCTTTTTATAAGTTCTAACAAAATTTCAGCATTCTCATTAACTTCTAAGGAAATGCAAATATTATTCAAAGATGCCTTTCACTTACCATATTTCCAAAGGCTTCAGATTTCTATCCTCACCAGCATTTGAAAACTGGCAGTCCAACAGCTGCTGAGACAATCCTTCAGTACACTAAAGCTAAAGTATATTCTTGTAATAGTCACTGAAATGGCAAATATCTGGACTGAGGTGATATTTAGAGGCCTCTGTAAATCTACAAAAAGTCACTCAACTGTATGCTCGAGAGAATTCTGTGCCATTTAACTTAAACCTCCATAAAAGTATTTTGAAAATGTTTGAAATACACACCAACAAGTCAATTCCACTACTATGAGTGTATCATCCAGAAAACGTTTTCTTACCAGATAAAAGGAAGTCATGGGACTGCAAAGTCCAATAAATATCATTGTTAGCCTTATTGTTCAGATACTAAGAGAACAGAGATATAATTTTTTCTTAAAATGAGTAATCATTACAAATATTAGCACAAAAGAACCTTCACATTCAGGGGAGTGGAACTTACAATTCCACTCAACATCTATTTCACAGATCAAATAAAAAGGCAGGATTAACATAGGGAATGAAAGAGTAAAGTCCACTGGATTAAGAGACAATGTCCCTATTCATGAACATCTTACTTTGATTGCTTTCCATTCAGATGTTTCTCCTTCTTCCAGAACTGCTGTAACTTTCTGTCCAACTTTTGGAAGGATATTACCAGTGACAACATCACAACTGAAGTAGATTGACTCATCGATCACACCATAATCACTACAGATGTCGGTCACAACTCCTTGTATAGTTTTCAGATTAGCATCACCTATGAGATTATAAAACAAAGGTCACATTAATAACCTGACATGCAAACATCCACTCCAAAAAGTCCTACCCTGACTACCTGGGGAACCTTGGCCACATATCTGAACTTCTGTCATCCTATTTTTACCTG